TCTCTATTTCTTGGTTTTGCCTCAGAAACTGCATTTTTGATGTCACCCCACAAGTTTTCTATTGGATTAGGATCCGGGGATTGGGCTGGCCACTCCATAATGTCAATCTTGTTGGTCTGGAACCAAGATGTTGCACGTTTACTGGTGTGTTTGGGGTCTTGTTGGAACACCCATTTCAAGGGCATTTCCTCTTCAGCATAAGGCAGCATGACCTCTTCAAGTATTCTGATGTATTCAAACTGATCCATGATCCCTGGTATGCGATAAAATAGGCCCAACACCGTAGTATGAGAAACATCCCCATATCATGATGCTTGCGCAACCATGCTTCACTGTCTTCACAGTGTACTGTGGCTTGAATTCAGTGTTTGGGGGTCGTCTGACAAACTGTCTCCGGCCACTAGACCCAAAAAGAACAATCTTACTTTCATCAGTCCACAAAATGTTGCACCATTCCTCTTTAGGCCAGTCAATGTACTCTGGCAAATTGTAACCTCTTCAGCACGTCTTTTTTTCAACAGTGGGACTTTGCGGGGGCTTCTTGCACATAGCTTGGCTTCACATAGGCGTCTCCTAATTGTAACAGTACTCACAGGGAACTTTAGACCTTCTTTGATCTTCCTGGAGCTGATTGTTGGCTGAGTCCTTGCCATTTTGGCTATTCTTCTATCCACTTTATTAGGTACACCTTGCTAGTACCATGAAAATATCCCCCACATTACATTACACCACCAGCCTGAAACATTGATACAAGGCAGTATGGATCCATGCTTTCATGTTGTTTTTTATGCCAAATTCTGACCCTACCATCTGAAAGTTGCAGCAACCAGTCTGCCTATTCTCCTCTGACCTCTGACATCAACAAGACATTTTCATCACAAAACTCACCAGATATTTTCTTTTTTGGACCATTCTCTGTAAACCGTAGAGATGGCTGTGCATGAAAATCCCAGTGAATCAGCAGTTTTTGAAATACTCAGACAAGCCCATCTGGCACCAACAACTATGCCACGTTCAAAGTCACTTAAATCCCCTTTCTTCCTCATTCTGATCCTCGGTTTGGACTTCAGCGAGTTGCTGCCATGTGATTGGCTGATTAGCAATTTGCGTTACCAAGCAATTGAACAGGTGTACCTAATAAAGTGGCCAGTGAGTGTACATTTATAAATATCTGGTGTTTGATTTTGCACCTAACTCTCAATTTTGAATGTTCTTTTCAATCTGGCAAGGCGTGACAACAAATTTCCATCCAAATTTGAGATCAGAATTAAAAATAGGGAATCCATCTTCTCTGTGTGTTTTGGGTTTTCAATATAACATTTATAATTGTACTATTTTTATCACTATTTGTTATTTAATTTCTTTTATGCCTTTAAATATACCAGCAGGCACCATAAATGCATCATGTTGTCTCAGTTGCATTTCCAGTTGCCATTGAAATGCTGTTAAAATGCCATTAATTATGAAACTGCAGCTATTAAAATTAAGAAGACGCTATAATAACCTGCTGCTCTCATTTGATTGCAAGTTTAATATGAAGTACTTTTCATTGTGTGGCTAATTAGTGACCTGGCAGACCTCACTAAGCCATTTCCTTCCTTATTAAGTCAACTTCCTTTCATGAACCTTCAGTGCAATTGAAAAGTATTTATACCTAATGTAGAATAGCAAACTAAATATTCTGGTCAGTTGTGTAGTGGGGTGACCACTGTATCATCAACAGTAGAGTAGTACAGAAGAACAGTTATTTACAAGGCTGATGAATAAATGTCCTTTATTTTGGAGGAATGTTAGCACTTTACACATTTTAATTGCTAACGCTTCAATGTCTTACATCTCCCTACATTTTTTACCTTCTACCCCTTCCCTAATCAATCTCCCACAGGAAAACATATTGTAAGGATGTGTTGATTATGCTTGTAAGCCTAGTTGCTCTGATGGGAGCCATTGGATGCCCCACTTTTAAAGTTTTGATTGTATTATGGGACAAGTAGGTGAAGAAGGTAGTAGTATTTATCCTAATTAGGTTTTATCATTATAAGGAAATGTAATATTTTCTTATAAGGGCTGTAATATTGCATAAGAGGTGTCCAACTAATGGTTATAACACAACAAATTATCTATGGAGCAGGTTTTCCATTCTTTTTTTCTAGTTTATTTTCCCAGTTGTGGGAGAGAGGTTTGTGTTGCTGAAAGCAGAAAAAAAAATTTTTTACCACCATTTGCATGCCACTGCTCTTTTTGCAGGTTTTGTTTTATTAACTTATCACTAGCTGTCAAGTTGTAAAAAAAGGAAACCATGTGGGGCTCCACTTGCCGGGCTACTTCACTTATTCACAGTGTTCTGTGAATGAGAGACTACAAGTCCCAACAGCCTTATCGGCTGTCGGCTTGTAGTCCTCAATGAACTTTACAGCGCCATGGTAGTTCATTTATTCTTCCTGTCAGTATATCTACTTGCTCGTATATCCCATACAGGCAAGCAGATATACTGTCAGATCTGCAGGAGACCTGCATAGCACCAACGATCTGCTGATCGCTGATGCAATGCTTACAGGCTACTGTAGACAAAAATAATAAATACACTTTTTTTACCGGCAAAAAAATGTGCATTTATTTTTTTTTTTACTAAAAGGTGAACTTATCCTTTAACCACCTCCCGCCCGCATATAGTACAATGACGGGCGCAAGGCGGTTCTCTCATTCTGGGAGGACGTCATATGACATACATACAGAGAACACTGCTTGCTTGCTTAGGCCCCATTCTCACCCTCGGGTAGAGGGAACGTGCATTCCTGCATAAGGGTGCACCAGTTCAGAAGTGTAGGTTCATGGAAAAAGGATGCCGCTCAAACCAGCTCAAACCCACGGAGCATTCGTAGAATTTCTTTTGATTGTGTATGAACCATTACACAGACCTTGCACCACCACCATCATATTTTTATTCCACCCTGGATGCATAAACCAAGCTAAAAATATTTACTGCATTTCTTTTTTGTGTATTTGAACATTATTTTTGTACCGTCATGTTAAATGTTTTATTTTATTCCTATTTGCCCTCTATTTTTACTTTCAGTGAAAAAAAAATGAACAGGGGGGGGGGGGGTCCATAAAAATTTAAAGGAGTATCCATAACCCTCAGGATCCTCAGGAGCCATTAAAAAACAACTCTTAGAAATACAAATGCATTCCACCAAAATGACAAAACTTCCTAAAATCTACAGATTTTTACCAAACTTTCAGGAAAATGTAAAAACTCACAAATCTTCTTATCCCCTTTCAGAAGTGAAAATGAATAAATGCACTCTGGGCTGCAGCTTTTCCTATTTATTGAACAGTAGTCTTGATCACCCCTGATATGTTTTGAGCTGAAAATTACTTTTTCAAAAAGCTTTTAAGTGCCAAATATGTCAGAGGTGATCCCTGTTAATGTCCAATAAATAAGAAAAGTTACAGCAACCTGAAATGCAGAGATTAATTTCCTTTGCTGACTGATTTGCTGGGATGCAATTAGCCAGACCAGCACCAGGGGATTTCACTGTGAGGCCTGTAGAGAGCAAGTCACCTAAAATGGTATACATGTCATTGCATGGTCTTTTATGTAACGCCCTCCAGGTTAGCTTGGTAGTTTTTTTTGGTCAGTCAGAGACTGAGCAGCAGCCTGGGATGAGTCAGCCTGCAAGTGAGGCAGGAGTTCACCTCAGGACAAACTAGGGGGTTCTGAAGGTCAGAGCTTCTTGAGCCCTCCCATCTCTCCAGAAACCTGAGGGATGGAGGTGGGGGGGAAACACGGATCTGCATACTTGAGGGACCTTGACCAATCCCCTGGCAGGAGACTGGGCATGGTGACCAAGGCAACCCTTAAGTATCACATACCCTTGGTGGAAGGGAGCAGTGTTGAATGTAAGATGGAGCGAGAGGCTTGAGTGTGGAGCCTGGGAGGGAGCCCAGGGAAGGGGCCTACTTACAGGCAGGTGCTGGAGAAGAGGATCTCCACTGTAGTATCGTCTCCAAGGGAGGATATCCTGAGCAGCAGGGAAGGAGCCAGCCTAGTGAAAGGCCTGAAGGCAGCCACCAACCCATTAAGCTATCAGGACAGTATACCCCATGGGCTGGATAAGGGGAGAGAGCAGTCAGAAGGAAAACCCAACTAGCTTCTCATCTGGGGCTGATGTGCTAAATTAGCAATTTCTGGGCCCCTTTGCCCAGGGAAAGCCCTCAGTACAGCTGGGTGATGAGGAGGATTCATCTGGGGTCTGAGGAGGTACACCAGAGAGCTGGAATCCTCTTATAGGAGTTACTATTTGTGTCCACATCTGTACATAGTTGCTAAGGAATTTTCCTTAAGTTTGCAGTTTCCTTGGGCATCCCATACACCCTTCAACCCCATCCAGGTTATTAACCTCTTAATAAAATCACAAAAACAAGCTCAAGGATTGTTTACTGACTCTCAATGCAACATGTGTGTCAGTAATCCAGATATGCCAGAGATGTGTGGACTGACACAGGGAATATCAGGCTTCAGGAGTGATGTAGATAATACAATTTATTGTGAGATACACCAGTATACAAAATTCACAGTGCAAACAAAAACCAAATAACCAAAACCTTCACCCAATATATACATATACAGAAATAGAAGCGTAGTCAGGGCTAGCTGGGGTCATACACAGGAGTTCAAGCATGGGGCGCAGGGAGGAAGACAGGACACGGAATAAAAGCATATTCAGGGCTAGCCGGGGTCATACACAGGAGATCAAGCATGGGGCGCAGAGAGGAAGACAGGACATGGCATAAAAGCGTAGTCAGGGCTAGCCAGGATCATACACAGGAGATCAAGCATGGGGCGCAGGGAAGAAGACAGGACACGGAGCAGATCACAGGAGAAGGAGAAGGTAACAGGTAACAGGTTCATGGGAAACAAATACCAAGACACTGGCCACAGGCCTGATTACTGTTTAACCTCCCTGGCGGTATTCCGAGTGTAGCTTGGGGTAAAGTTTCAGTACTACAAGCGGTAACCCCGAGCTACACTCGGGCTTACCATGCGGCTCTGCTCCGGGATCTGTTCTTCTCTTATCTTGTCCTGCGCTCCTGCAATGTCCCTCCTGCAGTGTCCCCTGTAATGTTCTCCGGCCGATGCCGGCATCTGTCTTCTGGGTTCCGTCCCCTGCGACGTCAGGACGTACGGGGACGGAACGGTGGGAAATTTGAAAATTACAAAAAGTGACATTCACTAAATAGACTAAAATAACATAGTAAACCATTACTGTATCAAACCATTTCACATACATTTTGTCCCAAGTGCTTTGTCCTGTGCCCTGCCTGCATTTTTACTGTTCTTTCTGCCTGGAAACTGAGAAATGTCCATGGCGTCCAAAAACGTCCCTTCAGGTCAAAATTGGTTTTAGACCAGCTAGAGAACAGCGATAGTAAATTAGAACCACTGGCAGAATTGAGTGATAATGATTCGTGGGGGGAGCTTCATCATCAAACACTGAAAACGAGTTTGCGACTTTGCTCAGTGATGTGCGAACTTGAGGCTATATTTCAAACTTCAGTGTTTTTGGTTTGATTATATTATTGAATTAAATTTATTATTATTATATTATTTTTTTTTTGATTATTTATTAAATTATAATTTATGATTTCGTGTTTCAAATTTTAACATACCCGGGATGTTTACTAGACTCTTGTTCGGTCAGATTTCAGTGAGTTATTCCTAAAAATTACAGGCCTACAATTACAAAAAAAAATACATATTTCCATGCAAAAAAATGTACCGCTTTGAGCACAGAAATATGGACATAGTCAGACCGCTAGGGAGGTTTAGTACACCTCCTGCAATCAGCCTCAGGTGATGGCTTGATTGCAGAAGGTGAGATCCTGGCTGCTGAAAGGCACTCGCTGGTAAGTCCCTGTACTGCAGTCCATAGAGCAGGTGAGCCACAGCACCACCAGCAGTAATCCCTTTCCTGGCCATGTGGAAGAAAATTTGTGTTGTATGGCTGTGCAGAGGTGTGATGGGACCCAAAACCCAGCAACTCCTGAGAGGTAGTGCTACATTTATATTATTGCTTACCTGTAAGGGTACCCAAATCAGACCAGTAAAATGTCTGTCAGCACCACATCAATTTCTCTCTCTGTCTTTCTCTTTATATATTTATGCAAGCTGTTCTTTCCATAATGCACTATAGCACAAAGCAGGCCTTCATTCGTATTACAATTGTATGTTTGCTGAGTGTTTTGCTGTGATAGCTGACTGCATTGTACCACTGCAAACTGCTGAGATGTGATCGCAGCCTTTCTAATTCCTGGATAGCAACAGCAGTTTACTAATTGATAGAACTATTTGCTTGAAGTTGCTTTATAAAACATCACTTACTTATCCTGTTCTTAGAGTTCTGGGAAATAGGCAATGGGGCTGAACTTCAGATTAATTTACTTCTGCACATAGAAAGCAGTGGAAAGCCGTGTGTTTGCGTCCAGCGGATTTCATCCCTACACCACTCATGATCTGTGCTTCCTTTTTGTGTGTCAGTCACTCATTAGTTCCTCAAATAACAAGGAACACACTCAGTCAGTTGGCATTTTCCAGTGTTTTAATTGCCTGCTGTGATATAATTATTGTGACATTTTGGAATCTTTTTAACATCCTGAATTAAATATTCTGACATCCCACAGAGCAGTTCACGAAAACAGTGAAACTGTAGTCAAGTAATTAGCTGTCTACAGCTGTCCTTGTGTGTTAAAATTAGTTCTCAAAAAAAGCGGAGTTTGAATTCTAATTGTTATACAAATAAGTGATAGGCCAGCTACTTACCTTACTGACTGTCAAATATTCACAATAAGCCTTGCTTTCCAAGCTGTTTGAGAGAAGAACTGTCTATAATGTCCCATGGCAGTATGGTGACAGTGTGGTTGGTTTTCATTATAATCAAAATATGTTGTTGCTTTTAAATACTCTAAATAAATACTCTAAATTTGAATTACTCCAAATGTAAGGTAAAGTGTCTCTGTTGCCAGCAGGGCTGTGGATAAGGGGGTACCACCGGTCCTCCTGTATGGGGCCCAGGCCAGCAGGGGGGCCCAGGCAGCTGGGTAAATCAGATGTGTGTAGGGAGGGTGATCAGCATGATGGGAATGCAATTACTGGAACCAATCCCCTGTATGGCTCTCTCTGCAGCAGCTGAAAGCTGGTTTCTCCTCTCCCTTCGCTAGCATTCGGCTGCTGCAGAGAGACATACAAGGGATCAATTCCAGTAATTGCCCCCCCCCCCGCTGCACCCATCACCTCCCTGTGCATCATACATTGTTGCCCAGGCCCCTCTGTGTGCCCACCCATGCAGTGCTCCTTGGTTCCCTCCTCTCCTTCCCACCAGTAACGGCAAGCACACAATAGGATCCTTCAGGATGATGAACACAGCAAGTGATCGGTACCAATTACTCACGGTGTTCCTTCATAACTGAAGCGTAGTTAACCGGTTATTTTTTGGTGGGGAGGGTCCTGTCAGGTTTGATGTATGGGGGCCCGTGGTTTCTAACAGCAGCCCTGGTTGCCAGACCATTAATTTCTTTTTTTTTTTTGTATACAAATGATTTTATTTTTCAAGAAATAGACTGTAAAGTGACATTACAGCTTCAAAAAGTATGTAAAACAGAAACAAGGCACAACTGAAATGTACATTTTGGAAAGTACAATCATGTAGAGTAAAGAAAAAGAGAAGAGAAAAAGAGAGAAAAGAACTTTAGTACATGAGTAATATAAATAGAGAGGTAGGCAGAATTATACAGCTACCAACAGAGTAACTCGATCAATCTAAACATGGGTGTTAGTCATGTAATAAATGTCTATGAGTTCTCCAAATTTCCCATTTTCTATCAAATAAGTGCATCTTGTCCAGTAAAGTCTAATGAATTCTTTCCATGAGCATCACAGCATCAACCACAGCATCAACCCTATGCAGAACAGAGGCCAATGGTACCGTGAGAGATTTCCAGATTTCCAGTACAATAGCCCATAGGGTGGATATACAAATGGTGTGGATTAGCCTCATAACCTCATTCTGAACTCCCGAGATATGGGCTCCCAATAGGCTGGACTGCATAGTCAGATGCACCGGAGCACCCGCCAATGCAGAAGCCACCTCAGAGATCCTGTGCCACACCAAGGAGAGGCCTGGGCAGGCCCAAAATGTATGCACCAGAGTACTGGCAAGGCCACAGCCCAGAAAACATAGGTGGGACATCCTTGGATACAGGACATGTAGTCTAGATGGGGTATAATACCATCTGGTTAATACTTTGAGGGCTGTCTAATTGACAGAAAGGGATCTGGAGCTCTTGCGTATGTTATCCATCATGGAATCCCAATCCTCATCCGAAAAGGTGATACCACTATCAGTTCCCATTTTTGTCTATAAGGAGGAGGTGTGGGAAAAGAACTAACCAAAAATTGGAGATACAAATCTGAAATAAATACCCCTGTCCCTAGGAGAGTCACGGCTAATTCATTCGAAAAAAACGAAATCGGAGATGAAGGTATACATTAAAAAAATGCCTGATCTGTTGATAATGATAATATTCACAAAGCGGGATATCAAAAAGTGTGCGTAGCATCTCAAAGGTGATATAAGATCTTCCTCTTTGAAAGTCAGATAACCTAATAAAAGATCTATCATACCAGCAATGGAACGCCTGTGGAGATGAAAAAGCCGTAATAAAATTCGGGTCACCAAAAAAAAAGATGCATCTGGAGAGACAGAGGAGACCAGATTTAATCTAAGTTTATATCGAGACCAAAGCATCAATGATTGGGCCACAATCAGACCATTAATTTCAACAACAATCTCCCCATAAGACTATGGGGTTGCTTTACTAAAGTGAAATATACTGCAAGTGCAGTTGCTCCAGATCTTAGTAAATGAAGTAAAGCTTCACTTTGCAAAGAATACCTAATCACATGCAAGGAGAATTTAAAAAAGCTTTTTTGTTTCCACATGTTTGGTTGATAGAAATAAGCAGAGCTTCCCTCCATTTTAGAGTTTCCAGATCTACAGCAACTGTACTTAAAGTGGAGTTCCACTCACCCTGTCAAAAAAATAGAAGTCAGCAGCTTCTACGCAGTCCGTTTCACCAGCCATCCTGTATTCCAGGAGGCCGGCGTCTTCAGTGTGGACATCCGGCTGTGACTGCTTGTGGCTTCACAGCCGGGTACCCACTGCGCATGCGTGAGAAGCGCTGCGCTATGTGAATAGTCCTGTAGTCTTCTGGGACCGGTCACATGTTCCAAAAAACTACAGGGAGGGAGGGAGGACACCTTCCGTTTCAGATCGCCTAGGCGATCAGACCGGAAGTGGGAGCGGGTACCTGTCAAATTCGGGTACCCACTCCCCCCCACTCCCCAAAGGTGCCAATCCTTAATGGGGAGCGGGGGATCAGTCCCTAAAGCGGAACTTCCCCTTTTGGGTGGAGCTCCACTTTAAAGTGCACTTGTAGTGCACAGACAATTTGCCTTTTGTAAATCAAGCCCTATATGTGTATTTTATGTATCTTATGTATGTTATTTGCCTGTAAAAGCTGTTGTTTTGTTAGCATCCATAAATCCTGAGACTGCTACTGGGCTCCGTCATCTTGGATATGTCAGCAGTCTGCAGTCTTATCCTTTGCTCATCCCTCTCCCCACAGGGGCCACTGAATAGATGCCAGGGGTTTTTTTTCCTCAGTAACTGCCCTGCAGCCAGGCACACAGTCACTCCTTTGGCTCAATGAACAGTCTAGGGGTATGTTTTTCTGATGCATTTTTACAGAACTTGAACTTGGATAGGTTCAGGGTAGCTGTGAGATACTTAAAAAAAACTCATAATAATGAACTTAACTCTTAGTAATGAACTTGAGGGCACTAATCTTCATCTTAGTAAAGAAAGCAAGGGTCCATCAGCCCAGCTTTTCAGGAACACTTTAGTAGTGAATTTCCTTTAGGTATAACTAACTCTATTGCAAAAGTAGAAGCAGAAATGTGAGCAAAAATCTATGCTTACAGCAAATAGTGGACTGAGCTTTGTCCGCTTTGAACAGAACTGACTCTAGGCCACAGCACACAGTCTCAGGGATCT